ATAGGGGCTAGGTTTGTGATTCACCCTTCAGAATGCTTATAGGAACATCGGACTTTGCTAAGACATCCGGACTGACATCAAAGAGGAAGCTTAAAACAAGAAAGGGGATAATCACGCTGTGAAGTTGTTCCCAGGCAGCTGCAGATATGATTCTTGACTAATGGGATGTTATTGAAAGCAAATTTAAAAGCAAACATAACTCTGTAGGTTACAAACAAAGTTACAATACTCAACTAATGTCAACGCCAGACAATTCTCATTTTTCTCCTTATTCATTCCTGTTTCCTCGTATTTGACGTGGTAGGAGATGAGCTGTTATTCTGAACTCCATAAAACGAACTCCATAGAAAAAGTCACAACTCGTACTAAAGAAAAACTTTTGTTTTTTTAACATTCACAAAATCAATCCTCGAAAAACATCCATAGATTGAACCAGAACCGAAAGATTACCATTCACATTGTTTGAATGGGCACTTTAGACAGCCTAAATAATCTATCTTTTTTGTAGTGGTTATGGTGCCATAAGTTGTCAGTTGAAGATTTCCACCATTTTTTTCAATATTCTACATCAGGTTTTTCATTACTTAAAATGTATTCTACAATTAAGCTATATAAATAGATTTTATAAATCTATTTAAAATAACTTTTGCCTTAATGAAGTTGTTTTGGTGTATAGATCATGCCTCTGCAGTTTCAGTGCTAAATTCTCTGCTGTTTAGGAGTTATATTGGTTTTGTTTCTGTATATGCGCTCCTCCCCTGGCTGTAATTTGAACTTTAACCGCAGGATCTAGCAAACTATTAACAGAGCAGGAGACAAGACACTCTAAATTAATCAGAATTTGCAATAAAGGAAGTGTAAACATTAGTTGACTCTTTCCAGGAAGTGTTTAGGAAAGCTCAGTAAGTCACATGCAGTGAGGTGTGACTATGACTGTATAAACAAAGTGACAACTCCGAAATGCCAGAGAATTGAGCAGTGAGACTACAGGGACTTGATTTATACACCAAAACTGCTTCATTAAGCTAAAGTTACTTTGAATATATCTCTAAATGGAGAACGAACACTTTCGAAGATTTTTATATTATGTTTACTTTTCCCTACATTGACTTCCTGTCAATCATAACTATAAATGTTGTAATTTTCTATCCTTGAACAATGTTTCTGTTCTTCTCATTTTCATTTTGTGCCCTGACTATGCCTGGACTAAACTGCTGTGCTAAATCTTTAATATACATTTTAAAAGATAATTGAACATCACATAAAACAAAGGAGGTTATCACCAGTTATTGATAAATTAAAGTGCTTTACTTAATGGTGTATTTTTTTTTTAGAGATGTGAGTGTTTCTCTTTAAGCAATTGATAATTTGTCTTGTCTGCCCATTGTACAGCACTGCTGAATATGCTGCCACTTTGGAAACTAACTCAAGCTAATCATGTGTATTCCCCTTTTACCAACACAAACTAAACAGACTGTTGTTGCTTAATCAATAATTTGTCTTTTAAGTTTCCTCTCCTTCACAAGAGATTAAACACGTGCTGACTCTGAGTAATGTGTCCCTAAAATGGACTTTGCTTGAACAAATTGACACAGTATATTATTAATTTATTACTAATTTGTGACAAGTTTACTCTATAATGATATGTCACAAAAATCCATCTAAAGATCCGAGGCGCCAGACTCACCCTTCGCTTGGAATCCGCTTTAAAACCGAATTATAAAATAAAGGTTGTGTCAATAGTCCAATTCTTTAGGCATTATTTATATTGTCTAAAAAAAATCTATTTTCCCCCCTCTTGAATGGTTTTGAAAAAAAGAAACCTAATAAAAGACCTACTCTCAAATACTATTCAACCTGTAAATCCAGTTAAAGGACCACTATAGTGCCAGGAAAACATACTCGTTTTCCTGGCACTATAGTGCCCTGAGGGTGCCCCCACCCTCAGGGACCCCCTCCCGCCCGGCTCTGGAAGGGGAAAGGGGTAAAAACTTACCTTTTTCCAGCGCTGGGCGGAGAGCTCTCCCTCCTCCGCCTCCATCCTCCTCCCGGCTGAATGCGCGCAGCGAGCTGCGCGCGCATTCAGTCGTCTCATAGGAAAGCATTTACAATGCTTTCCTATGGACGCTTGCGTGCTCTCACTGTGATTTTCACAGTGAGAAGCACGCAAGCGCCTCTAGTGGCTGTCAATGAGACAGCCACTAGAGGATTAGGGGAAGGCTTAACCCATTCATAATTATAGCAGTTTCTCTGAAACTGCTATAATTATGAAAAAATGGGTTAACCCTAGCTGGACCTGGCACCCAGACCACTTCATTAAGCTGAAGTGGTCTGGGTGCCTAGAGTGGTCCTTTAAAGAAACACAAAAAAGGAAAAGAACACTAGTGACTTCTAGAAAATCTGTTCCAAACATCTTTCCGTCTTCATTCCATGACTGGAGCCTACAGTACCTCTAAATTTAGGGGAAATAGTCACAATTGTATTTTCTGCCGTTCTCTGCAATGATTATGGTACCCTGGGTGCCCTCCCAGGGTAAGGAGATACACCATTTGAGAAGAGCTTGACCACTTACATGGGGCCCATCCAGTGCCAGTCCTCTCCTTCTGTGCCCCAGGAAGCTCCTGCGCTTAGCTAAGCCTGACATGCAGGGAGAGTGCCAGAGCACTCCTGGGATCTAAACTAGTACAGTGGGCTGTAGTGGTTATGGTGCTTAGAATGTTCCTTTAAAATAAATCTTTATTCTGTTTAAATTAATATATGAAGTAAATGGTGCATTTGTTTTACATGAATATGTATTGTTTTGTTTGTTTCCAGCAGTTTTCTATTTTTAATTTAGTAACTGGTTTGAGTGTTTACAGACAATAAAAGACAACATGGTGTGTAACAAGACATACAGGATTATTTGCTTAAAGCGTGAATTGTCAGCGATTCAAAGTGAATTTAAACTTTCAGGCCAAAGTAACTACATTGGTAAAAATCTTCAAGATAGCTACGTTCTCGGTTCAGCTATTGTTTATCCCGAAATGGAAAATTCACCTTGAATACCTGGAAATACACACTTTAGTTAATCAATCTGATAGTAACCGGTTTGTAGTTTTCGTTGAGAAACCCTATGAATGAGCTATTTCCACCCTGCCTGTTCTAGGCGGCCACTCTGAGCCTGTCATACAGAACATGCAGGGATACTGCAGAACACATTGAAGTGCAGTCATTGGGTTGAACATACAAAGAACACAGACGTGTGTTTGCATAATAGTTACTCCTGTCTAAGCTGATTGTGTTCTACTGTGTACAAATACCTGCCAACATTTTGCATGAACAAAGACGGACACTTTAAATTTGGGAGTCTGAGGGGGTGTGTGTGGCCAAGGGCGGGTGTCTGCTGAGAAATTGTTGGTGACTTACTAATGACAATTTATGTAACTGAAATGTAGTTTAGAACAAGAACAATGTATCTTATTTACACAGACTGATACCTAAACACGTTTTGAACGTTTACAGACACATTACTGAGAGTATTTTAGCTGTGGAGCTGTGTTATATATTCAGAAACATCAACAATATGGAGCTCCTATAAAAAGAGAGACCGAGGGATTTGCGTAAAGTATGGAACTGCTCCCCCTAAATAGGGACACTTGGAACGTATGTGTTTATTTAGCTCTTTGTACTGTGAAAATTGATTTATTTTTCTTTTAATTTATTTTTGGTCTACCTCTTCCCGGTCCAGAAGTAGACCATTGGCACAATAAGTATAGGCAAGCATTGCTGCGTGGGTGTAGGGGCCCTAAAGTTCTCCTCATAGTCAATGAGCAACATAAAGTTCTGGCTCCCCTAGTGGTTGGATATAAGGAGAAATAGTGGAAATAGTTTCATATCGATTTTTGCCATGGCTTAAGAGCCCACTTTGCCCACGGACTGTCACACCCACCATTTTGCCTGTAGTATTTGGAATTTATAGATTCCAGGAAGGAACCAATTTGCCAATTTTTAGGAATCTTAAATTGAGCTGTATTGATTTGCTTAAATGTGTTTCAATCCTGCAGTCTATGAAACTACATAATGCAGGGAAGCACTTTTTATGTAATGTACTAGGTTTGAAGTGCAGGTTATGGGTGCAAGAAAATATGCAGATTCCCAAATTTGCATTGTTCATGCAGGAGTTGATATAGGTCGGAAAATATGTGTATTAGTAATAATATTTATATGAATAACCGGTCACATTACCCAACCATCAAAAAAACAACAACTAGCTACAGATTGAAATTAGAACTGTGGAATATGTTGGAATTAAATAAAATAGTCGAAACAAATTCCTGATATTAATTAAAAAAAATAAAATAATAATAGACACATAACATGTAATATAACCCAGCTCAGAGAGTGAGGTCATAGAAATGATGTTTTGCTGAATGCTTTAGATTAATCACACTCTGACATCGGAGAGATAGTTGCTGCAGGCGATGAATTTTCTAGACAAAAAAAATGCCCTCAGTAGATGACCACAGATTTAAAATCCTGTAATAAATACCAGATGATAGATATATGTGTATACCTGTTGCTGTGTTAAGAATGCAGCTGTGAAATCTCATAATAAGTTGCACAGGCTGTTAATGTTATATAGAAAGATATATGTGTGTGTGTATAGGAAATTAGGTAGGGTTACAGAGAGTGAGAGAGAAAAAGTGATATAGACGTATTGATATTACAAAAGAGAAGTATATATTTACTTAAAGGGCTTCTCCAAGCATACAAACCACTCTTGCTAGACCCCTGTTTCCTAGTAATTGGGCAAATTACTGTGCAGTGGTTTGTCCTCTTACCGGGGTCCCTGCCGGTCCCTGACTGTCCTTCAGCTTCTGTAAATCTGCGAAAGCTATAAGTCAATCCCACCAGCCATTCGTTGATTGAGAGCGTCAGCTGGCCAATCTCAGCCAATGAATGCATTTCATAGCACAAAAATTACATTAGTCAGCCCAGAACCCTTATTCCTTGTATATTCTGTTGTATTTGTGGATAATGTTGTCCTTGATTATGTAATCGTGTGTGCATATATATATATATGCACACACGTTGCACACACGATTACATAATCAAGGACAACAATATATATATAATTTATTATTTTATTTATTATTATTTTTTATTGGAGAAATTAATGGTAGACATTCCTGAAGTTAATAATTTTAATAGGGTAGAAAAACTCTATATAACAAATAGTTTCTTTTTAGTGGGTGCAGTACCTCTGCAGGTTAAACATGTTACCTTGTATGGTGCACTCATGGATTCCTTAAATGAGAGCGTGTCTCCCTTACCTGCTTTCTCTCTCGCTCTCATCCTTCTTTCTCTTGAATTCTCTCTCTTTCTCTCTCTGTCTGTCGTTCTATCTCTTGCTATTATTATTTCTCTAATGCTATCTCTCACTCAGCGTCTCTTTCTATATTTCTATTTTTTATAATAAATGATATTGAATGTTTAATGGCTCGATTCTCGACTACATAAAACTGAGTAATAGAAACAAATTGCCAGAAGGGCCAGGAGAACACTATAAATCAGAGAAATAAAAAGAAGAGGAACACAAAGTCAAAATATGCAAAATATGTTGGGAAAAATGGCATTCAGTGGTGTGTTGCACAGGGCAACCAAAGCAGTTTGAGAAGGGGCATGTAAAAGCTGCAAAAGAGTTAAAATTTCCAAAACTAGTTTTGAGAAGGACGTATAAAAACAGCCTCCTATGTTAGGCAAAATGTCAAGCATACAGGCAGAAAGAAATAATAAAAAGCTGAGATTTGCCATGAAAAATTAAATAAAGGGAGATAGGGAAGCATTTTTTTTTAATGGCTGTATATGTAAAACTGTGCTTTGCAAATATATTTCCATTTCTATTTTATTTTTCTCTCCCCTCCCCATGATAGTGTATAAAAAAATGAACACTTGTAAAATTCCTTTACTATTCTTTGAGAGGTTAAGAACTTTAAAAGTTACTACCGGCTTAAATAATGCCATTACTTTCCGGCTTCAAGCTAAATTTCCAGCTGTTCAGCCAGCTGTGTGCTGCCACCATAATTAGTTATTAAGGGCAAATTATAATGAGAGCGGTCTTTTTCCTGGTCTGTTATAGGCATGCCAGAACAAGCCGTGTAGATTAGAGGTACACTTTGAGACATGTCGGTGTCCTAGAATAGGCATTACCTCTGGGAGGATATTTCTGAAGAGGTAACAAAATAATTAGCAGGAGATGTTGCAAAAGAAATAAAAGAATCAAAGGAGCCCTGTTAACATTTTCCGCATATTGTAAATCTATTGTTGGAGTTTATCGACAGAGTTGTCATACATTTGGGTACATGCTGGAAAACCATTTTAGGAATTTAGGGAAATGGTTGTGATGTATTCATTGTATTTTGGGGCAGCGTATTGTTGTAGACGTGCAAGGTTGGAATATGAGTAACTCCTTCCAGGTACATTTTTCTATAAAACCCATGAAGTCATCGGACCCTGTGAGTGCTATTGTGTGGTTTTTGTTTTTTTTCGTTTTGGTTTTTTTTGTGTGTATATTTGATCTTTTCTTGCAGTCCACTCATCATGAACAAAACGGAAAAGTAAGCACTGTGGCATTTCCCTAATACAACGTTTGTTATGGGAAAGCCTTTGGTTCACTTCCTTCTTTTGTAGTGAGAAAGGGATCGTATAAAAGCTGCGAACATGTTGTGGTTCTCAAAATAAAAAAAAAGCCTTCTCAAGTGCTGAAATTGACAAGTTCACACAGAGGTTCAAGAATTCTAGTGGGCTTTTGGCACAAGAGTTGTCAATTGCAATCATATCTCATCAAGTTAAATTCCTAATTAATTCCTAAATCGTATCATGGAGCCAAGATACTAAATGAGCAATACGTTCTACTTAATAGAAGACTTAAATATTCCTGATTATCTTAGCACAAGTAATGCTAAAGTTGTAGTAGTGTTATGCCATAATGTATACTTGTATTATTACACCTATTGTGTATATTAATAATTACCCTGATTAACCGCTATAAACGATTACCCTGATTAATAGCGATACTTAAAGAGACACTGGAAATGTCCAGATATGTTATTCTAAGTATCACAACTTACTACAGACCACTATGATGCAAGGAGTACCCTGGCCTCATTCAACTGTAATGGTTTGCCTCTTACCTGGGTCAGACTAAGCGCCAAGCCTCCTCTAACTTTGGCCTAATATTTTCTTGTTTATGTACATATCCTGACTGCTCTAAAGCCCAGTGGCCCCTTAGCAACTCATCAACGAAATATGCATTTAAATATTCCAATATGATTATCATCTGTATACCTTTGTAAAGAAAAATAAACTGCCCATTAACCTTTAGCAAAAATATGTGTGAAGTTGAGGTTGACCAGCAAAGTAATGTTATTTATTACCAAGTTTAACAAGTATAAAAAATACAGTCTAAATAATTTGACACTTCTCTGCCCTACAACATGTAAATGTGCAAAGAAATCAGTTTTCCATATTAAATGTATGTGTGTGCGCATATATATATTTTTTTATTTTTTTTATGTTGGACAAAACAAACATAATTTGTAACCACACACACTACAGACAAATTATGCTAATAAAAAAATGAAGAGAGACAGTTATTATTGCATGTTAATAGCAGCTGGGTCAGAGGTGATAACAAGTAGTATGTCTGAGGTAAATCTTGCTTGTTCCTGGAACTGTCTTGAGGTCATCGGTTTCATGCACCATTACACTTCTTTTGTTGACATAACCTTGAGGCATGTTATATCTGGCTTGCTGTAGTTTTCCCATATTTTTTTTATAATTTATTTTGTAGCACGCCCAAGTATCTTTGTTATCATTGTGTTTAACTTTTTGGAATGGTTTCTTTACTAACAAAGGATTTCCCCACTAGATTAGGTCAGCGATGGTCCATGGGTAAAAATATTAGCAATGTTACACAGCATTTACAGCATATTCCAATGTAATGATACAAGGTATTTTTTTTTAGAAATATGGATAAGCAGTCAGGGTTATTGCATGGAGGCTGAAGCCACAAGTGAGGTCATGAAAAGCCCCTACATTAATTTAGAGACCATTTCATTGTTATCCTTATCCTTCAATACTGAGAGAGAAATAACACATCTAATTGTATCATTTGAGACAGTGCCACTTCAAAGCACCATATTTGGAGATAACACAGAGTAGGGTTACCGTTTTGGGTCCAGGGTTTTAATGCAGTTGACTGAGGGGTTATTACAGCTTGGCTTGGGGTTAAATCTAAATATAGATTCATGAAATACTCAGAATACAATCAAAGAATTGCTGTCACAAAGTCATTTATAGAACACATTACGCTTTATGGTTGACATAGGGTGTGGTATTGGGCTTACTTTAGGAAAGTCAATATATGTGGGACACCTTGGTCAAAGCTTCTGTTTTTTTGCCACCGGCAAGCATTGCTGAATGTTGTTTAGCATTAAAAATAAAAAATTGTACCTCTCAATATTTTATATGGCACACTTTTGCTTTTGATGGTGTGGCTGAAAGTGGGCCACAGGCAGGGTTGTTTTGGAAACATTTTGTATGCTTCCAAGACCTACAGAAAATATAATGAATTCAAACAAAATATGATCTCTATGATCGAAAAGAGAGAAAACATGGATTTGGATCAGAAAGCGGGCAATACTTGCTCAGGAAGCATAGTTGATGGGAGGTATGTATTACTATATCATTGGTAGAGCAGGATTAATATATATAAAAAAAGAGATGTACATATACACCCCAAAAAACAACAACAACCCCCAATCCAACATGACATCTCCATTCCCACCTATTTATAGGACTTACAGAACTTTTTCTAGAGCCTTTTCATTCCTTTACAATAAATTTACCAACCTCTTTTATGTGTTCCTTTAATTTTTCAGCCTTAAAACATTTGAAGAATTACACCAAGCATTATGACCACCTTAGGGAGTTGAAGTGGTCATGGTGCAAGTAATCGGCGCAGCACTTCACATACAGAGTTTAACCCTCCTGCTTCTGGAGGTGTAACTCCACCTCCAGAGGCGCCATCGGGGCGTCATCAGCCAGTTTATCGTTCCAGGTTGGCTAATATCCGTTTTATGCAACTTTCATAGCACAGAATATCAGTCATTGGCTGAAAGTTGTCAGCTGACACCTCAGTCAATAAATGGCGATGGCCACGGCTTCCTAAGAGCCACAGTAGCTGTGAGCACTGTACTAAATGGTTTGCTCTGTTACCGAAGAACCAGGCCAGAATACTTCCGGCATTACAACCATTACACTGGTTTGTAGTGGCTATGATGATTAGAATAGCCCTTTAAATCTTCTGGATAGCGTTTAACCTAAATGAGCAATGTTTAATTTATTGGCAGCAATCTACATATGTCTTCGCTCACACCACATCTACTCCTACACTCTGCTCTATCTCTGTTGCACCTTTTTATTCAATAACAACTGTATATGTCACATCACTCGTAAATTCAATGTTCGCAGTTAGACAACCAAGCATGCTGCCTTTATCGACCTTTCCAACTAGATTAATTAAGTTTTTGATATAATTTACTTGTACAATATTTTGTCCATCTAGTATTTAGCACTGTATAATATGTGGTGCTTCTGCTAAATAAAGAAGTAATGGTACTGCTGTGTACATGTATAAAACATTTTTTGCCGCGGTGCCGCCGACCTTGCCGACCCACGGGGGGGGGGGAGATGCCCTGGGGTGACCGGCGACGACCTCCGCAGGTTCCGAGTGACAATAGTACCGGCAGGGGGGTGACCGGGGGGGGACTTGCTGCGAGTGGGGGGAGCGGGGGGATTGGGATGGGGACACACTGGGCGCAAGCCTAGCACAAGAGCAACGTTAACCAGGGACAGACGACTAGTTAACACCCCTGACATAGGACGGAGTGTAGAGGCACGGATGGGGAGGGGAGGGGAGGAGGGGAGGGAGGGCAGGGGAGACCTAAGCCATACGCTGCGGGAAGGTGGGTAAGGTGGTTCTAGAGCTCTAGGGACAAGGGACAAGGGGGGGATGATAAGGTGGAAGAGTGGAACAACATAGCCAAGGGGGAGGAGTGGGGACAACGAGAT